AAAGCTGGGGGGACCAAACTCCTCTGCAGCATGATTGGGATTGGGATATTCTGGAAGAGAATAATGTGTTTGCTTCAAATTAATTTGGACTGTCATGGCATAATCATATGGACGAGTATCCCTTTCTATGGCAAGATAGAGTATGAAATATGAATGGGATGCTAATAAAATAGCTTTGGGAGTATCTATTACATGCTTTCTTGTTTTGCTGTTTTAGGGTGTGTGGATGATTAATTTTTAAAATGATTTAAACCAAGTTTTCCAAGTTTTGACATATAAAGAGAAGAGGGTTAAGCAATTTCAGAAAAGGCAAAATGCCATTTCAGGTCAAGCAAAACATTTTAAGATGACCCAGACAGATCCTCCTCCTTCCAAATTTGGTCCCATCCAACCCAATGCCGCCGTCCCCACAACACTTCAGTTCACCCTTTGAACCAGAGAATCCATTACATTCATTTCTCTAATTATGGTCTGGTTTCTTTTAATAAGCAGATGTGGAACAGTGTAATCGTAGCCCCAGGCTCCTGAAATGGTGGACTCCAGCCTAGATCTGGACCTCACATAAATATGCCCCATGCCTTGCCAAGGTCCCAGACATGACATCTCCCACGTTCATGAAGGAGATCCCAAGTTTTTTACCACTCTTTTTGGTGGTGTGCACCACCAAGCTGGCCCAGCACAGGTGAAGCCAGTGAACAGCTCCTTGCTGCCTATCCCCTGGTAAGAATTAGCAGATTTCAATAAAACTACTCACTGGAGCTTTATTAAAAAAGTGCATTTTGCTCAAGATTGCAACGAGCTCACTTCCAGTTCAACAAAAGCCCCCTCAAACAAACCCAAACGTTCCTCAACAGAGGATCTCTATTGCGATTCTTCTTCCCAAAGAAAAACATTCAGTCTTAACATATTTGTTCCCACTCATGCTACTGGGGTTTTCAATGAAAGTCTTGAAGCTGTGCAAGCAGCTCATAAAAGGGAGCCCCTTTCTGATTCAAGTGTGCCCTCCTGTTCAGATTTTGGGAAACGGGATGATTAATTGATTTCCATCATCAGACTCCCCATAAGTCACAAGCCAAGCTGCTATTTAAAGTTTCCATTGACAAAGATTTCATTATAAGAAGCCATAATTTTTATCCAGCGCTGTGCAAACTTTTTTAGTCTTCAACCTGAATTAGGCCCATATGTTACAGAAAAACACAGTGAGGGCAAGCTGTGGGGGTGAAGTGGTGAGGGGAAGGGAAAGGAGTAACTGCTCTATCTCAGTGGCTGAAAAAACTTCCACCCACATCACAGCATAAAGGGGCTCTGAATTGGTCGTCTTAACCCTTATCTAAACAAAATAAATCAAAAATACAATTTTCCGACTGACACTGAAGGATTTGCTTTCTTAGCCAAAAAGCAATTTTAAACTCCCTTGCTGAGTAATCTTTGCCCAGATACTGAACTCCACTGAGAGTTCCTGGAGTCCAAGGTGGTATTGCTGAATTCTCCTCCCTGTGTCCTGCTGCTGGGATAGGAACATCCTCAAACAGCACCTGCCACAGGATGCAGATGAAACCACAGCTAGGTGTTGTAAGTAAACCTGATGACTGGGAGACCCTTCCCCCAGAGGGCTTGACAAGGCAGTTCAAAAGGCAGCAAAAATGGGAGAGAGGCAATACTGCAATCCTTATTTCACAGAGTCAAACAGGCAAGGTGTATGCTGGCAAACAGAAGTTTCCTGTTAATAAAACTGTGAGCTCCAGAATCTGCCAAGACCATCTGCATTGTTTAAGATGATAACATGGTCTGTGGTCATGAGCAAGGGCTGCTAGTGATAACAATTTTGTTGTGGCCACCCTTTTGAACTGGCTTTAGCAGGGAAAGGATGGACATAAGAGTGCAAAGCACATTCAACCTGACCAGTTTTATTTAGCTGCATAGACAGAGTCTTCAGCAGAGCAGAGGCTTCATCTGCCTTGTAGCTCCATATCAGAGACTCCCCTGGATGATAAATGTATCACAAAAAGACCTCTCCCCTTCTGTCACGTGTGCTTGAGTTCCTCATAAATGTCAGATCTCTTGTTGCCTAATGGGATGGGAATCCTTTAGGTGACTGGGGAGCATTAAGATCACTGTGAGGATGAACCAGAAGTACCAAGGTGGTAGTTTAAGAAGTTTGCACTAAGCTGTGTGACTGTGTGATATGGCTAAGCCAAAAATTCCTGTATATGGAAGTAGGAGCTGATAAGTCTCAGTCTCTCATTCTCTATGATCTGCAATATGGCCTTTGAAAAAAACAGGGATAAACAGTATCAACCTGCCTAAAATGTTCTCTGAGAGAAGTAAACAGAACCTGACATACAAGTGCTATCTAGTAATGCTTGGGAGAGCCAGCCAAATATCACATTTACAACATGGATTTTTCCAGCATGACAGAACTACGGCAACAGCACAAGTCGTGTTAAGATCTGGAAGGGGCAAATTTCCTCAGACAAAGAAAAAGATTTAGCAGTCATTGAACACAAACAGAAATTTTTCTTTTCTGCCTTTTAAATTATAAATTTAATCAGAGTTCCAGGGCTTTCCTTATTTTCTTTCCTTATAGCTGAGCCCAGGCTGGCTGGAAACCCTGTTCCTTTGGATAAAGTCAGGCAAATTGAACAACAGAAGAGCAGAGAGTTTGGGGCACCCTCAGAATTTCAGAGAGCATGAAAGGTAGAGAAATTACATCCTTCACACACAGGTTTTGATAAGAAACTTGGATTATGCCTTTCAGGCTTCAGACAGAGAAGTAAATCCACACAGTCCAAGCCAGAAGAAACTACCCAACATAGACCCTCAAAGACCCTCTACTCCTCTTGCTGTGACTGCATTGCCTTGTGCTCAGGTAGACCATTCTTTTCAGGATGACCCACAGCATGATTAAAAAGAATAATCACCCACTTGCATCCACAGTTGTTGCTACTGATTAATCACCCCTACAGTTAAAAATTTGGCCATTGTTTCTTGTTAGGATACGAGTTTGGGTGCAGCTTTTGCTACCAACTCTTGTTATGTCTCTGTGTAGTTGACCAGGAGATCTTTGCTATTGCTGTTTATCCCCATGAAGATAATTCATCTGGCATAAGCAAATCACCTCACAACCTTGCTTTTCACAAACTTAGCAGACAAAGATCTTTTAAGTCTTCCACTGTAGCATGTTTTCTCTGACCCTTAAATTATTTTTGTACCACTTTGTGCACCTTAAAATCAAATGTGTGCCTGAAATGGGATCTCCTGTCTCATAGCAAGGCACAAGCTGCTGTGCAGATCTATAATCTTGGGAGTATTCAGCCCAAGGAGCCAGTTCATACCTCATCTCATGGTTCAGATGTGGATCTGTACTCTCTTGATCATGTTGACATAGGAATTGTGCATTTCTCCAACTTTCCTTCAGGTTTCTCCTGAGTTGTAGTTCATGGGTAGTTTCCTCTAAAGGCACACCTGAGCCCAAAGTTCAGCAGCCTGACCTCAGCAGACTCCGTGGTGATGTCCAAGTCTTGGGAATTGCAGTCAGTCAGTAGCAAGAGGTGAATTCAGCCAACCCTTTCAATGCTGGGGGTTGACCTTACAGGACAAATCTCCACGGAGCTGTTTTTGCGTCTCCGGTGCTGGCACACAGACATGTAATGAAGTATATGCCCTTCCCTATGGGACACTCCTCCATGAGTTCATTCCTGGCTTAGTTGGAGAAGCTGGATTTTACATTATTAGGTATTGAGTTGCAACATGAAATTACCAAAATGTAAAACATGGGAAAACATACTGTAAATCACTTATTGGCAGGTCTCTCACCTCTTTACAAGTGCACAACTGGATACATATGAGTCTTTTGGAATTTCCAAATTAGAGCCCAGAAGACCTTCCCGAAGAAAGGTATTTTCTGCTGGCACCAAAACAATTTTATCTGAGTTAAACAACAGAGTTAATGTTTTAACATTCACACGGCCGTTTGCAGGCTACAAATCCAAACTTAATTTCACCTCCTTCTTGCACTGTAGCTCTATTATTATTGCTTTTTTTAATGAATGTTATTATTCTTGTAACTCTCCTGCTTTGGCTTTTCAAAAGCAATATACAGAGACCCAAGGGACTGACAGTGAGAATGCAGAACCTTTCACATTCAGGTGAAAACACTGATATCTTTAATGGCCTTATCAGGAAGGGAATTTACGTAAACAGAGTAAACGTGTTCTTACTACTGTGACCTCCAGCTCTTTTGTCCCCACTGCCTGTGACCCTCAATTTGTGGCGACAAAGGATGCTCTGATATGAGCAAGGGGTGATTTTGTGGTTAAGGAACTAAACTGAGAATCAGACTTTTGGGATTTATTCCAGGCTCTGCCACAGACTGCCTGTATGCAAGTCACTTAATCCTTCTCTGCCTCTGAGGGAATATATAAAAATATTTTCTTCTGTCATTCTTGTCTCCAAGGCCAGAAAGATCCCCTACACTGGAAGTGTCCAAGGCCAGGTTGGATGGGGCTTGGAGCAATCTAGACTAGTGCAAGGTGTCCCTGCCAATGGCAGGGAGGTGAAACAAAATGAACTTTCAGGTCCATTTCAACCCAAACTATTCTGTGATTGTATGAAAGATTTGTCAGCTGAGCCACAGAACAGCTGAGCATAGACTCTCTTACATAGTTATGTTTGAGTGTCCGAGGGATTGGGTCATGCCTTTGGTTAGCTCAGGCTTTCAGATGGGCAGAGAAGAGGCATATTTCTTGTTTCAGTATTTGTCCAAGACGTGTTACTGTGCTTTTCTGTGAAGACTGGGTCACAAATGTAAGGGTAGTTCCTGAGAAAAATGAGGATCAAATGACTGATCCCAAAATGCACCTTGACCTGTGGTCCCACCATTACAGCTGGTGATTAAAGAGTTCAGGGAAGCTCCACCAAGAGCCAGAAGTTCACAGGCACACAATAAGCAGGCTTTCACCCTAAACCAAAATAACTCCATCTGCAGGAATTTCACTCACCAATTCAGACAGTAGGTCATGGCAGGACACACTTCAATGTTCACCTGAGGTAAGGAGTGAAAGTGTCACCAGGAAAGCCTCCCAAAAGCCAGAGTACAGTTTACCCTTTCATGCAGCTCAGAACAGAGAAGACACAAGAGAATTTGTCAAATGCAAGTTCTGCCAGGTGTGGAGACAGGGTTTGAACACCACCCTCTCCCCACCCACCCTGCACACCACACTACAAGGGTCTGTGTTGGTAAGGGCACTTCACAGCCCATGGGAAGGAGATGGAACTAGAGCCTCCCACATCTTCATTTATCTGCACACCAGTTTAATTTTTCTCTGCTTCATTTACTCTTAGAATTTGGAGAGTTGGTGGCATGCAACCTGGGCATGAATTTTTCTTATAGTCCCATTTTCTGCTCTCTGTGTGCCAAAGATCCATCCCCCACTTTTTCTTTAGGGAGGAACTGGCTTACACGGCACCCAGAGAAGGAGGTGGGGCTGCAGAATAACAGTGAACACAACCTGACAGATATCCATTATCACAAACTGCACCTTCCAATTCTGACCATCCCCAATAGCTACTGACTTCAAACCACTAGATTTATTTAAAGAAAAAGGGTTATTTAATATAAAAGGAGTTACCAAATACCTGCATAGATCTGGTTACTTTCTTGCTGCTGCTACAACCAGTTATTTTCTCCCTGAGAGAGACACGTCTGCTGGCCTTGCAGAGAGCACATCACATCCTCTGGATTAGCAGGTCTTTCCATGGATAACTTGATGTGAGGCTGGTGTCCCACAGGAGCTCCCAGATCACAGCACTCACTATGGAGAACACTGCACTTTAGTGCTCAACTTGGATGATGCTTCGAGAGATAAAATACAAAGTTATCCATAAACCATCAAATGTTTCAGACCTTTCAGAACACTATTTGCTGATTCCCTCGGAAATTTATTAGCTCTACCAATATTTTCTTTTTTAGCTTTGTAAAGCAAGCTCCAAGTCAGCTAGTACTGACTATGCAGAGCCCTGAAACCACATGTTTATTTTCCTAAGTTATAAAAAGTTTATAAGGGTAGCTGGTATCCTTATGGGCCACTGTACAGTGATTTGCTACTGCATTCCACACTGGTACAGAAGAGCTTTGTGTTCTATACCAGAGGGAAATCCTTGTGATACAGCTGTCCAGCAGCCAACGAGAGTACAGACACCTTCAAAAATATAACCCTGATAAAAAAAAAAAATTAATATCTGAAAAGGCAGAAAACATCCCTGCTGAGAAAAATCAGTTTGAACAACTGATGACTCTAGGCAGCGCAAGATCTGTACTGTGATACCCCAGAGAACATCAACAAAGTCCTCTCACCTCAGACATAGTTCTTTTTTTCAACTAGATCACCATTCCTACCTGAAAATGCTGTATGGTCACAATAATTTTTGAAAGTCCAATGCAATAGCTGCCTTGTCTTTTTGCAGTTAACATTTAGCCCCAGGCTCTCAGCTTTCACAACTTCATATGTCGCTTCATTGACATGAAGAGGCTTTGGTCAATTTACACTGGAGAATGGAGAGACTGTTATCCATTTATCTCTTAAAATAGTGAGTACACAGCTGCACAACATGAAGAATTAGGTCAGTATGTTGCTATGTCTGTCCTGGAAGGAGAAATTCAGAGCAAATAAGGTAGATTTCAGGAGAGAGCCTGGAATGTGTGAAAAGTTAGCAAAACTGACATAGACTCAATAGCAAAAATAAGTAATTTTGCAAATCCCTAAACCACAATGGTTGGATTAGGGCCCTTGTCATACAATTCTTGGGCATGTGAACAATCCCTTTTTCACTTGACTTCATTTCATTAGTTTCTCTCAGCTACATAAATACTCGTACTCTCAATGGGACTACTCACATCAATAAAGTTCCTCAAGCGAGCAGGGATTGCAACCCAATTTTAGTGGAACAAACCCAACCTCTGACTTTGATTGCATCCCTCACTTTTCCAAAAAAACTTCATTTCCAGCAAGAGCGAGCCCACAATCCCTGTGGAGCTTGCTTTCTCCACTTCCAAGCACAATCCCAGTTATTTGTCTTGTCAAATACAAAGGCAAACAGGGCTCTTCTGAACTCCCCAACTTCACCTTCCTTCGTGAAAACACTGCTGGGCCTCGAACAGGCCAATTTGGATGTTTTTGAGAACTCCTGGGCTTTGCTCTGCTCTAATTGATAGATCCCTGGTGGGGTTATCCTGCTCACGTTGAATCCCAACATGCCTCTGCCAGCCAGCAACCTCTGAAAGTCAAAATACTGCTCAGTGTAATATCATGAGTAATGACAGTAGTATCAAAGCAGCAATTACTCAGCTGTAAATTGTTTTCTGATTAAGCTTGTAGTCTTTTTTTTAGTCTTTGACATTGTTGCACGGGGTTGACTGTGATTAATTCACTTATAGTCAATAGAAATGTCACGGAAAATTGCCCCTTTACCTATCAGTTCCTATCATAATTTGCAGTTTAAGGTTTGCTGCAAGGGAGACAGGATGGGCAGTGCTGGAGTGAGAAGTGCATTGAACTGCTGGAGAAAGCAGCAAAACAGACCCCAGCTGGCAGCCACCACTATGGGGATCCTTAAGTATAAAGAGCAGATATTGAGTTGGATGCTTTCTGTATATTTTTCAAGCAGGTTTTTAGTTAGTTCCATTCTGCCAAAAGCATAGGAGGAATTTCTCTTTTTCCTCCAACTCTCCCTGATCATCCAAAAATACACATGAAGAGCTGAACAGAGGAAGAAGCAGAACTGAAATCAATAAATCGACTTGCTGGCCTCGTATGTCAGTATTTATCATCTTATCCAAGAATATACAATAAAATCAGCACATCTAAACTCAGCCATTTCCTCTCACGATTGTGAAAACTCTGCTGACATGCATTGCTTCCACAAATACCCACCAGATGTGGCACATTTCAGGTAAAGGCTTCAGTGGGAGGCATGAGCTCTTCATTTAGTGTGCTCTCTTCCCCTCAAGGTGGAAGAAAAGAAGTGGGAAGACAATGAAGAAGATGAAGCAAAATCAACTCCTTCCCCTCCCTTTCTATTATTTTCAAAGACTACAAAGTATCTCCAAAGAGCTTTACAAAGACTGTCATAGAAAATAAACACACAAGGGTATTTCTGTCCAAGAGTTATCAGCCACAAACCAGTAAATAAATCCTTACTCCTACAAAGTGAAACAAATGGAGAGACCTGATCTCTTAAGTGCAGTTATGTTGCACCAAATACAGGTTGCTGCAAGTAATATCAAGGTCTGCAAAGGGCAAGAAAATTAGACTTGGTAAAGTAGAATAGATTTGGATGGATTGGGTTTGGGGGTTTTTTTTAAATTGTTTATTAAGTACAGTGACAGGAACATATAAAACTTTTTTATGGAACAAAAGGACAAGGACACCAGGAGTAGTGGGAACCCCGACCCACTGATTCCCTCAACAGGACTTGAATCCAGCACTGAAGCAACGGCAAGGACATATTTTATCCAGAGCTAGGAGACAGAAACCATCTGCGGGGCAAGAAAATTCTGGTAACATCCAAACCAACTTGCTCTCCAAGATCCTGTGTGTGTACAGGCTTGTTGAACACGAGCACATGAATGTTAAGATTGTGTTTTCTGGGGAAAGGCAGAAACCTTTTACATTGTAATATAAATGTAATGAAATGTAATATAATACATAAAAATGTGAAACTAGTCTGATGTGACTTTCTTGCACAGAACAGCATCTTACCATTCATACATTCAGATACATATGCAGTATATATATATTCACATGCATAAACATGCTGTATTATTTAACTTAAAGCATAAACATGTGCTTAAGAGAGACAAGTCTGACAGCCCAGAGACCTAATCTTTCCATTAGCAGTCTTCCATCTCTATTACCTTGTCTCACTGGATTTCCTTCTGTGTCCCAGGGAGAATGGCTTTTGTAGCAGAACAAGCAGAAGAACACTCAGATTTACATAAACACTGTGCTTGATGTTCCAAGATGCAACCACACCATCAGCCAAGGGATGGTTTTCTCATACAGGAGGAATCTCAGCTGTAATCATCAGCCTTTTCACAACAGAGTCCTGCAAGTCTTTTACTTCCTTCACTTGCAATTTGCCCAGCTCAGAGATTTACATGAAAGGGTCGAACTAAATATTGACCTTCATGTGGAAGTGTGTTGCATGATCTGGAATATCAAAGGGTATCTCTGGAGTACAACAATTTTGGTCATGGCAAAAGGATGAAATCCTTTTTTCCAGCCAAAATGCCATCTATGAGAAGGTCATGTAAGTTGTTTATCACTATGATTTCTTGTTCTTCATCCCATTTACGTCAAGTGTCTTCAGGACAATTAATATAAGCAGTGCTTTTAGCATTTTAGGAAGTGCTATGCTAACTAATACAGGGGTCCCATTAGTGGATTTTGCTCCACTGAGTTTCAGTGTTAAGACTGAAAACTGAATTGCACTGTCAGGACTAAAATTAGATCATCAGCCTTGACTATCAGGAGTTAGTAGATTGCTTAAAAGGAGCAGAATGGGGTGCCAGCTGTAGATTAGTAATCCAGTAATTCAGGAACAAAGTGAGAACTGGAAGTGAGATGTGGGTTATCTGAAATGACAAATACTGCAAATAATAAAAATACTTCTCTTTAGCCACATGGGTGAAAAGAGAACAATGACAGAATCATAGAATCATAGAATATCCTAAATTGGGAGGGACCCAAAAGGAACACTGAAGTCCAACTCCTGGCCCTGCATAGGACAACACCAAGAATCACACCATGTGCCTGACAGCATTATCCAAGCACTTCTTGAACTCTGGATGGATGAAGAAAAGACAACATGAGGTACATACAGGCCTGAGAATGACTGAAGAAGTCAGGATTTTCCTTTTGTTTTTAATGGTTATGATGAAGAACATTCTTGGACCCCACAACAGCAGAAGCAGCCCAGAAAAAAAACCACATCCACTGTGGGTGACATCAAAATCTCACCTGGGCTTCACACCTTGCACCTTGCAGCTTGGCAAAAGTTGGAGACTTTAGCAAGTTTGGGATTCTGTGAGTTTCCCTGCAGACTTTCCGTGCATGTTCATCCTTGACACAAAGGTCAGTCTGTTTGCCAGATGTCAAGTCCTTCCTGCAAAGTACGGGGGGCAAAAGAGCAGTTCACATAAAGGTTGTCAGATTTTTTTATGCATTTTTTTTCCCCTGATTTTGGCTGACATTTTCTGAAATGAATTCAGCCTGAGGCAGACACTCAGCATGAAGAATTTAAATCCAAATGGTTACAGCTTGGCAAAGCTCTGAGCAACTGAAAACAGAGTCTTGTAATGGGAAGTGTCAGACAACCCCAATAACAGGGAACCAGCTTGTCTGGAGTGAGCATTGTAACACACTGGTGATGGATGACATCAGACTGGAAATTTCACAGTTAAGTAGCTGCAGTGCCACTAATCCTCCCTGGTGAAGAAGGTCGGTGTTAGAGTCCATCTGGTCTGGATGTACAATGTAAGATTATGCCCATCATGACAAAGTTAATTAAGAATGGAATTCCCCTTTCTTGTTAAAGCAAGGAATAAAATTTGGGCACCAGTGATTGCCTCAACATCACATACTTTGGTTCATTGACAAGTATGGCACCTTCCACATGCATATAAGTTGCTGACTTTGGGATTTTTTTCTTATTAAGTGAATATTTGTTATGATTTACTTCTGAATTAATTGGGTTCAGCTTCCATCTGGACATTCCTATGAATGAACTTCAGAGGCCTAAACAGGCAAGGACAGGACATTTCAGGGTTGAGTGGAAGAGCATCAAGAGGAACAGAACATTAAATATGTGCACCTGAATATTCATACTGGAGGCTGCTGCAGCAATATTTCAGTGAAGTAGGCAGGAATAGCACCATGTGACTGGCTTGACCAGCACATCTCAAATTTTGTTATTCATGAATAAGCTAGAGGGCAAAAAAGTTCATAATGCTATTTTGTCCAAGCCAGTATGGCGTAGGAAACTGCACTTACCTCAGAGCTATACCCTCAGCAGGAAAAAAAGGCTACATTTGAATAAATTATTTGTGGTGAATTATTCCATTAGCTGTAGTCATCATAATTCCACCCTGATTTTTATGTAGCATACATAAGAAAATTCTCCTTTCCATATTGTATCTTCACTTAGTTTGCTGTGGCTGGAGACGGCAATTACACACTGCTTTTAAAGAATCTGATTACCTGACAAATGCAGATCTCAGCTAATGTTTGCTACAGAGATGCTGCTAACAAAAGCAAAGCTCACAGTGAACCTGAATGACCAAAGTGAACTTGAATAATGGAAAATATGTTTAAATTTATGCATGAATAGCTCTGTGGGCAAAACCAGAAATACAAGGATTAGCACTATGATGAGTGAGGTTCATCACAGCTAAAAAGATTTTGATTTGTGACTTTGTGGAATATAAGGACTTAAATTGGCATCAGTTTGCAGCAGTTTTCATAGAATCATAGAATAGTTTGGGTTGGAAGGGACCTTTAAGGCTCATCTAGTTCCAATCCTCCTGTCATGGGCTGGGACAGTTTTCAGTAGATCAGGTTGTTTGAAGCGCCATCCAAGCTGGCGTTGAACACTTCAGGGATGGGGTATTTAATTTCTGAGTTCTTTGGTGTGAAAGTTTAGACACAAATGCCTTTGCTTGTGCTGGCACCAGCAATGTCGAGACAGTGCATTTCTACAGCTCATGGCCACGTGTGGGACCAGAATCAAGGACTCAAGTGCTGCAAAGATCAGAGCAGCAAGGAGGAAAAGAGACATGGACAGAGCAAAATGAAACTCAAAAAGGTACTTCATCTCTGGAGAAGATGGTTGTGTTCTTTTATCCTACTTGATGAAACATCAGAGGGGGGAACATTTGGATGGCACCATCAGGAAAAGCTCCATGTGCCTTGGCAGCACCTGTGGCCACCCAAGCTGCTGAGACTGAGGCATGGGGTAACTCACCCAATTGTGCATGTTCAGCTTGCAGGCACTCCTGCAAATCCCTGCTTTTGCTTTGGTTTGTGTGGGCTTCTCCCCTTCTGAGTTTTGGTTTCCTACAAACTCCATAACTCCCAGCACATCCAGCCAAAGCCAACGTGTTCTGCCTGGTTTCAGGTTGAAATCGTTCCGTTTCATCTGTGCTCATCTGTAACCATGAACTGGCCCAGCTGCACTCAAAACTTGGCCTACAGCTGTTAAAAAAAAAAAAAATCATTTTTTCATCACAGCAGACCCAAACCAGATCATAATGGGTTCATCCCAATGAGAATAACTGGAAACAGCATGTCCATTTCCTTGGCACTACATTTGTCTGGCATAGTCTGCTAGAGAGAAAGGTACACCAGGTTTGCCTTAGACACATGGTTGGCTGCAGTTGCAATTTGGGATAATCTCCATATTATAGGGTAGAATTACCCCAAGTTTCTTCTGCATAACCTGGATGTTTAGAAAGGAAAAATTAATCATATGACAACCCTTGGTTAATGCAAAAGGTTTACTCTTCCCCTTACTCTTCACTCCTCCATTCTCTATTCTCATGACTGTGACGATAATGTCCGTTGATAAAAACCCTGCAAAGTATAAAACATGCAGATGTAACATACTTCTGTTTGGTAACACACTGACTTCACAACCTCCTTCGTATTATGAGTAGGGGGATGGGGATTTTATCAGATTTTTTTCTTTTTTTTTAGATTTTAGTATTGATACCAATAGCATAGCAAACAAGAACAGAAATAAAAAAAACATGATTGAAAGCCCAGATTTCCTGGTATGGGTGCCCAGGCAGGTAGACTCCTGAATCAATCTTTACACATGCAAATGAGTAACATGTTTATCCAACATGCTCAATGCCCACTGGTCTCAGACAGAGTTGTGGGATGCTTTGCACTATAAAAAAAGTCATGTGTCTTTCCTTGGGCTGGATTTAGTCTCATGTGTGTATATATCAACCACAGAAATAAATTCTAGTCGTTCTGGGCTCCCTGGTGTAGTCAACAACAGTTCAACTAAGTTGCTTCAGATATTTGCCATTATGTGGGATAGATTCCACCCTAAAAGTCTGTTTATTTGCTCTGACTATGAAGAGATTCTACACATCCAGGTTACACAAAGACATGCATCATCTATCAGATGCATCCCATCAGAAATAAGTTTAAATATGGCTTGAAGGGCAGCATTCATCGATCAAGTGCAGACAGCTGCAATGCTGACAACTACATTAACTCTCCTTTTGTACTCAGTACAAACAAACAGGTGTCTTTAGGGTGCAATTTATATAACATTGAAGCAGACAATTAAAATAGGTCAGAGTGATCACTGCCTGAAAGTGTCTGATTACACTGACTGGAAGGAGAGCCTGTGACAAGAAGCTGAGGTGTGAATGCTGGGTGGGATGAGCTCCACACTTAAAATTCATCTATAGCCTTGTTTTGGTTGAAATAGGGAACCAGAAGTAGCCAAAAATTAGAAAGCTCACCAAACCTAACCAATGAAGCACAACCCAACTTTCCAAGATTTCTTGGGAAAACACAGGTGCCTGTGAACTTTCTCAGCCCAAAACCCTCTACTTTTGCACTAATATCATCTTACTGTGGGATCAGTACATAGCCATTAGCTAAAGCTAATAAAACAAACTCCTCTGATATTTTGTTAGGCAGGTACCAATGTGCTGCTGTCGTAGCTGTAACGAGGAATAAACCAATAATAGCTGATTCTGTACGATATGAATCTGAGGAAATTAATCCAGCTAGAAGTGATTTAAAACATTAAAGCTCCAAATCCTCACGGGATCATAGTATTAGGCAATTCCTTAGCAGAGTGCACATCACCCAAAGCTTATGAAAATATTTTTGGAAAGAGCCACAGGAAGTGTTACATCATTGGAGGCAGCACAGAATGCAGCAAGTCAGGAAATGTGACTCCATGCCTGTCTCAACCTGGTACCCGTGTCCTGCCTGCCTGAATCCAGTCAATTTGTCTCCTGTTCCTCTTCCGCTCTTTGCTTGCCTTGCCTGGGTAGGACTGTGAGCTCCTCTCTCATGTTTATCCAGAGCTGTGCAACGTGACAGCACCTCTCATTAAAAATGTGGGATTGAGGATCAATATGGTATTGACCATCTGTCCTCCACTGAAAAAAAACCCTCAGCATGTTATTATTATCTTAGGTGGTCAAAAAATACATTAGGGGCACATTCAAGGTGTTTAATTCTTATACCCATGGGAGATGAAGATTGTGGCAGGTAAACTGGTAAGGAAGTGTAAATAACCATATCACAGCTGCCAAACCCTTCCTGGTTTCTGCAACCAGACACGTTCTCTGCAATGCACAGTTAATCACTCTGCCAAATTACTTTTTCTACATATTTTTTCCTGAACTGCAAGTTGCTCCCATGATGTGTTTGAATGTAGGGAAAGGCAGCTGTGTCTCCTTGTTGCAGCTTCTTAGGCTGCAGCAGGGAGGAGGCAGCCAGATTGAAGATTTCCAGGTCAATCTCTCAAATGTAAGAGTCATTCTGGAGAGTGACATGTCTAGTGAAGAGCCACGACCGACTTGAATTTGACTCTCTCAGTGGTAAACACAACCTTATAATCACAGCCTCGGTTTCTAAGTCAGACAACATCTGTTATAGCCAGTGGTTCACCTTCACAGAGCATGTTTTTTCTCTGTCTCATCCACAGTCTACAGTGGAAAGCAATTTCTATTAG